TCACACACACACACACACACACACACACACACACACACACACACACACACACACACACACACACACAGAAATGCAAAGAAAAAACGGACAGTTTACAAACATCAGCAGATGTTCCCATTTTTTTCTACATACGCCACCCACCACAGTTTTTGACAAGGGCTGTAGACATTTATTTCGTCATTAAATCGCGATTAGGCTGGCAGGCGTATGATTTCTTTTCCAGCTTTGAAACGTTCTATTATACAGCTAAATTTTGTATAAGTTGGATGAATATTTTTAGCCGTATTTGTTGCTTAAGATGAAAATAATAGAGTCGTTAACAGCATGCCACAACTTGACGGTTTAAGAGGTCATGTACGTCATGTTTGTTGTTGTTGTTGTTGTTTTTTTAATGAATACGAGTTACCAGTGTTGGTTGTGTAGCAGCGGTTGAGCGCTTCGCTGTCGCAGACCGGAGACCTGGTTCGATTTTCAAGAAGAGACAATTTTTATCAAGTGTCTCGGCCTTTCTGCTGAGATATGTTGCATCTCTCTCAGTCCGGGTCGACCCTGACAGGCGGGATCGGAAGCCCTCCTCCTAAAGGGTCTACATTCTTCATTGTGTGAACAGCGGTGTAAAAAAACAACCCAACTCGTAATATATTTCAAAATAATAGTGCGAGTTTAATGCTATACTAGACACGAATGGGTAAAATTAATTCCCCAGGACCATGTCATCCCCCTGTTGATTTTCTTCTGTCACCCTTTTATTAGACAACGCCTTGTATTGGCTTAAGGCCTCTAAAAACAGGGGGACAATTCCGAGAGTATTTCTGGTGAGGCGTGCTGACAAAATGAGTTATTTTTCGGATTCTAACACTATGGACACAGATAGATACAGTGACCTTATAGGTTGGGTTTGTCTAATTTAATAGAAAACGATAAATGATAATATATATGTTTAACTTGAAGAAAACTGCATGAGTTGAAAATGCACAAATTTGATGTGTGTATTTTCGGCCGAAACCCCATTTGTGGATGACGAGATGTAGAATCCAACTTATTTTGTCAACACGCTGTGAGTGGCGTCGGAAGCCTAGTGGTTAGGCTACCGGACCCGTAATCATGAGATTGTGGGTTCGGAGGTTCGAACGTCAGCTTGGTCCGACCGTATGTCCTTGGGAAAGGCATTTTACACGAATTTCCCATTTGGCTTGGTCCTTTCGGAGATGGACGTTTAAATCGGCGGTCCTGCCTATTACTATTAAATAACCTAGTAGTGTTGATAGGGGCGTTGAACCTATTATTTTACCTTTTTTTTTTTCACAGTTATGTTCTGCTGGGGCAATAATACAGTCATAATTGTTTGAGGCAGCCACCTGTTCTAGAGGAGAAAATGGCCGTCTTTGATAGGTGGCTGCCTTACACAGGGTCATTATAATGTTTAAAAAACCACAAGGGAGGAAAGTATAGAAAGTGGCCATTTGTACACATGATTGTCTTATAAAGGTGACCGTTTGTACAGGTCATTGTCTTACACGGGTGGCCGTTTGTACAGGTCATTGTCTTATACAGGTGGCCGTTTGTACAGGTCATTGTCTTATACAGGTGGCATTAGAGCAGGTTCACCTGTAGACATATTACTATTACCAATATTTTTTAAATATTATTATTATCATTATCATCATCATCATCATTATTATTATTATCATTCTTCTTCTTCTTCTTCTTATTATTATTATTATTATTATTATTATTGTTATTATCATTATTATCATTATTGTCATTATTATTATTATTATTATTATTATTATTATTATTATTATTATTATTATTATTATTTTTATTTTCATTATTACTATTGTTGTTGTTATTATCATCATTATTATTATTAATATTATTATTATTATTATTATTATTATCATTATCATCAGCATCATTATTATCATTATCATTATTATTATTATTATTACTATTATTATTATTGTTATTGTTGTTGTTGTTTTAATTACTGTTATTATTATTACAATTATGTATATATATATAACAGTATTACATGTTTGTCCCCAGGGCAGATGCAGAATCCTGAGAAATCACCGAGTAGCCCATCTTGCACAAGCTGTACGACAGCCGGCTCCACAGACTTACATCCGTCATGTCCGCTCAACGAACATTTTCCTTCTGAAGACAGCGTAAATACCAGCGTTGCAGACCCAGAGCTTAGTGCGGAGTCCGGATATAACGAGCAGCGTGGACTAAACCTTTTCCCCGGCTCAATTCCCTGCGATTTTCCTACTTATAACCACAAATGGAGACGTGAATTTCAAAGTACATCGTATGTGGTGACAGGCAAATGCTCCGTTTTGACTCATTTGGACAACACTTATTCTGTGCTAAAACAATCTGAAGATGAAGATCAGAATACACTTAAATCAAAGATTTGTGATCTCAGGGACGAAAATCCGGAAACATGCCATCACACAGAACCAATATTGAACAGCGAAACTGAGGCTCAAGATCTTTCCAAAAAATTTGAACATATTTCTGACAGAAAAGAAGATAGAATTAATTCGCCAAAGTTGAAGTCAGGTGTTGTCTCAAGTGTCCCCTATTCGGACGCTCTAGTCAGTGGAATTCTTCTCGGTGATAAAGCATACATTGGCTTAGAGAGAAAACGGTTAATTCCTTCTGACACTTGTGGTGCATCAGTCTCAGCTCCATCTCACGAGCTGACGTTTAACACTAATAAAACCACTGACGCCCAGTCTACATTTAATACTTACGATAGTGCGGAAACACCACTCGATACAGCTGTGGAGGGGAAAAGTAACAATAGCTCCTTACATCTTGATCGAGAGTCAGTTCAGATTGAAGAAAGCCCTAACACTAACTTTCCAATACCCACGAGACAAGTTGACATGGAAACTTCTCCAACTACTTGTGCGGTGTCTTCGGGGTACGATATTCAGGATCTAAAAGACCAGGAGAGACCCTTAGGAATGTCAATGTCCACAACGACCATAGATCAAACGCACCAAGTTCAGACATTGTGTCAGAGCAGCGGCTCAAACACAGGGGAACACGACAGTTCATCTCGCAATTCAGCTTTCCAGAATCGTTCACTTTCTTTTACTGTTGGAGAATGTGCCGACAATAAGGATGTCCAGGGCAGGGGTTTGCCATTTCTATGGGGACAAGGGGCATTTAAGAATGTCAAAGAACTCGGTCATAAAATTTCTACAACGGATTATAGCAGGAGAATAGAACCAGGGTCGACTTCATCTCTCAGATACATTCCTAACACATCCTCACTGTTTAATTCTTCCAGGCCAGAATTTATGATTGAGCCATCCCAGAGTAATCTCAGAACCCTAACTGATACTGGGCATTGTGAAGAACTCAGTGATCACAAGTTACACAGTAGTGGACCGCAAACATTGTCGACACAACAGCACAGATCAAGTGGTTCAAGTAACGAATTCTCACAAAAACCTCAATTTGAGATCACGTACGATTCGAAATCGTATTCTCCGAAGGAAGAACTCTTTGAAAAAGCCACCTCGCCCACTCGCTCGTCAAATGGTTCTTTGCAAGGGGGTGGATACATCAACGTTCAAGATCTTCCCCATTACAATGTTGCTTTCGACATGTCAGCCTCAAGAAGTGGCAACGGCGGCGTCAGTGACGATGGAGACGATCTGACCAGCAAAAGAGACAGCAGCAATAATAAACTGCGCCGACGCCGGACAGCGTTCACCAACGACCAGCTCCTGGAACTAGAGAAAGAATTCCACAGCAAGAAATACTTATCTCTGACAGAGCGGTCTACAATAGCTGCGCAGCTCAAACTCAGCGAAGTTCAAGTCAAAATCTGGTTCCAAAACCGCCGGGCGAAATGGAAGAGGGTGAAGGCCGTGAACGTCCATGCACGTGTTGGTAGTAGTCACGGGGCAATGCCCGACTCACATTCCGTCGAAGGCAGTAAGCCCAAGATTGTGGTACCCATCCCAGTGCATGTAAACAGAATCGCTATCAGAGGTCAGCACCACGAGATGGAGAAGCATCGATCCCTTCCACTGTTAGGGACGCCTGAAAAATGATGTTGCGTACACCCGTCGTTCGGAATTGTGTGAAGCAAACTGGTTTGCCTGACCAAAGCTTCTTGCAAAGATATTTTTTAAAGTGGATTTTTCTGTCATTAAAAAATGGTAAAAGCTATATGCCCACATTAACACAATATATATGTTTCTAGAAAGCAGACTTCTTACGAACCTCGACGTCAGATCCAACTTGATTTGAGCGTGACAAAATGTCTCAGCAGACAGACGAAGATACTCGATTTCAAAATAGAAACCTCCTCCTACAGGAATGTAGTTCATAGTTTCTGCTTGCAAGGGGGATGCACTTAAAGCTACCCATTGACCTAAAACACAGTACGCTATGAATGTTTCATCTCAGTTACCCAACTGAAAATGTTTTTTAAAAACGAAAGAAAAACAGTTAGTTTTAGAATAGTTTGTCTCAAGTACCCTCCGAACTGTCAACAAAGTAGACCAAGAACATTTTGTCTGTTTGCACGTGTTTTTTTTGTGTGTGTTGTTGTTTTTGTTTTAACTATTAAACCAAGAACTGAACTAAAAGCATATTATGAATGACATTGAACCTCATTTGTTGCATCTGATGACTAGTCTAGGAGATCACTAGCAATCTTTTCAGCGTCCTGCACCCGAAGTGGTGCCTACCCTTGCGTAAATATTTTCTTACAAAACTCATGTTAATAAAGATCATAATATTAAATATGTGACACGACTCGGTGGAATCAGGCGCTCGTCAACTGTTTGGTCATAAATGGAGTTGTTAGTATCATCACATAGGTTGGTCATTACTAATCTTTGCTTTGTATTGAAGAAATAACCAGCTTTCTTGAATAGAAGTTCAGATATTTATGATTGATTGAGGTGTGTGTGTCGCATGGTATCTGAGGTAAAATTAATGAGAAGATGGCCTCCCCAGTTTGGTGACATCCAAAGCTTGAGTGTCCTTGGAAACCGCAAATTTACTTTTTAAAGCCTTCTGTTAAAGTTTTTCAATAACATTCTCCCCCAAAATGTGTTTTAAATGGACGTAAATGGTGTTGAGTAATAAGAAAAGAAAGATCAAAATTGTCCAACAGGCGGGAAAAAAACGGGTGTTTCAATTTCATTATCTCAACGAGCGCCTGGTTTCACTTCAACGAACCACATTTTCTTGCACAGTGAATGTAAATAAAAATCCTATTAAAATGTTGTGATAGGACTCCAATTTGATTTCTTGAGTTGGTTTGTGAGATGCAAAAGCTGGCGATAAGAACGTGCAGAGTGAAGATCAATGGTTGCCGGTGCCAAAATGTCCAGAAATGAGCGGAAATTAAAACCAATTTCCCTATTGGGCAAACTTCTCGCTTAGTCATTTCCGAGGAGGGGACGTGCTGCAGACGATCAATGGCAGAAATTTCATCGGTCAAGAGTAACTTCCCGTGAACTCTGCTGAGTGACCGATCCTTGACTCTTAAAGAACGAAATGGGCATATTACTATGAGGGGCTATGTCCGATCAGCGGCAGAGCAAAGACAATGTTCCGGCACATTTCGATCCATCATATACAAATCAGAAACAAAATTTGCATATTTCGTGTTATGCAAATTGCTTTAAAGTTTCAGACAAGAAAACAAAATAGAAATCTCTGTCTGAATAATGAAGCCATACCTCTTGACAACACGTCTTTATGTGTAGTCGAATGACCAGAATGTGCATGTGCTTCAGCAAGATTTGGGGGGAGTAAAAAGTAACCCTTTTTGTGCTGAAGCGTTACCAATTACGTTTGTACGGCAAAACAATATGTGATCGGGTGAGTGTGTGCCCGAAGAATAGTCCCCGTTGTCGGAAATTCTGGATATTAAAATAAAGGCATGTTATTCTTTAAGCACATTCAATACATTTTTTTTACTTTTCAAATATCTTGAGTAGTTTTAAAGATATTATGCCAGATTTTGTAACAAAGTGTAAAAAACAAAGTTAGGAGAAAAAAGACTTCAACCTTAGTTATGTTTTCTCAATTTCTAGCACCAACTGGGCCCTTTCTCCACACCCATGCACACAATGTTCAGTCAAGAGAGATCAAACAATAAGCCGTAATATATCAATTACTAAGAATAAGAAATTGCGCAAGTTGCAAATGCATCTTTTAAAACATCATGTATTAGCAAGTTAAAAAATAAATAATAATAGATTGAATTTAAGTGGCGCTCTAGCTCATGCAAGTATAAGCTCTATAAAAAATAATAAGTGCAGTGAACCACTAGGGAGAACGTACATGATTATAATAATTATTATATAAGACCACACAGTTTATGAAAAACTATTCTTTAGACTGAGCTCCTCTGTAGAACACCGTCATCACAAGCCTGAAATAATAAGTAATGGTACCGTTGGCGTCTGTGGTGTAAATGGTTTGGCGCTTCTCTGTGTCCTGCGCAGGAGACCCGAGTTCGATTCCCGAGTGGGGAGAAAATTTGTATCGAGTATCTCGATCCGTCTTTCCGCTGGAATATTGTATCCCTTTTAGCCCGGGTTGGCCCTGACAGGCACGATCGGAAGCCCGCCTCTTAAACGATCTATACTGGGTCGAAGATGGCCCAATAAACACCAAGAAGAAGAAGAAGAAGAAGAAGAAGAAGAAGAAGAAGAAGAAGAAGAAGAAGAAGAAGAAGAAGAAGAAGTGGTCGTCTTTACAGACAACGGACGCGTTTATTATCTTCAAAGTGAGAAGAATGCCAGTTTCGCTCCACGCAGCAATCAGTTGTGTCAGGCCGGATAAAAATCACCCCATGACAATACCTCAGATTTTGCAGCTACAAACCACTACTTTCAGATCGTTGCAAGGGCGTCTATTTTGTAAAGATGAAGCTCTTTTCCGCTGTGCTCTGATGAAGTGTGTTCTAATTTTGTTTTTAATTTAAGTATTTCACGCCCCCCCCCCCCCCCCACAACGCCACAATTTAGATCAATAAAATTTGGGAGGCAAGCTTGTAACCCTGCTTGCCATTGTCAACTTTGGCTGAGAGGTATTCAACATCCCAGCAGAAAGACAGTGATACTAAATTAACAAATACTCCCCGCTCGGAAATCGAACAAAAGTCTCCTGCATGCGACGGCGAATCACCTAATCGCTACACCACAGATGTCGGTAAGGCGTGTTCAGTTCCTTCGAGTGTCTCGGGTTATGTGCGGGATAATGTAACCCACTCAGCACGTGCTGTTATAAGTAATAATAATAATAACATGAAATAATAATAATAATAATAATGATAATAATAATAATAGATAGATAGATAGATAGATAGATAGATAGATAGATAGATAGATAGATAGATAGATAGATAGATAGATAGATAGATAGATAGATAGATAGATAGATAGATATTATTTGTATAGCGCATATCCCCACTCGACAGCAAGCTCTATATGTGTTTTACACACAGCAAACCAATAAAACACTCAGAAACATTCTCAGTAATCTCAGCCTCCCGAGAAGCATTTAGTGCAAGCAGCTGATTAAGCGCTCAAACACTAACAAACTGACAAGATCTTTCTCTGTCTTTAGCTTGGGTAGCCATTTCCTCTTTGGTGAAGTGAGGGAAATTCGTGTAAAGTGCCTTTCCCAAGGACACAACGTTGGGCCGTGGTGGGATTCGAACCCACGACCTTACGAGTGCGAGTCTGAGAGCTTAACCACTAGGCCACCGACCCGCAGACAGTGTCGAAGCAGCCTGAGCGGGATATTAATGACTGCAGATGAAAAGAAATAAACTGGAAACAGTAAAGAATTTTTTTTGGAGAATTGAAATTATAATAATTAATGAAGCGTCATATCCCCATCGACACTACTTTTAGATCATATAGGAGGCGGGCTGCTTTGCCCTTGCCTGTCTTGGCCAACCCAGTCTATGCGAAGTAAACACCCCAAGTGACAAAGATACTCGGGACACACCTAATATTTTCAGTTGGTAGGAAATATTGGATTTTTGCTCGGGTGGCGGCCGAAGCCTACTCTTATCGATTTTAGACCACCAATGAATCCTTAACGTGCGCAACTTGCACACGGGCCCTCCGAGATTTTTCGCCCTAGTCCGAGAAGGCTAGGTGTAGATCTTTCCTACCAGAAGATCAGGGGTGTGGCAGAAAGACAGCAGTAAGGAGGAGCCAAGCAGTAGCAGTAGAAAGGCTGTAGAAAGAGTCAGGATCCCAGAGGAGGGGGGCAAAGGAAGTGAGGGAGTGGGGGCAGAAAGTGGAAATGAAAGCAAACAACAGAACATTGCTAGAGAGCAGGAAAGGAGGTGAAAGGAGACAATTTTAGAGAAGAAAATGTTTCGGTCGCTACCCGGATTCGAACCCGGGACCTTTGAATGAGAGGCCAACACCTTAACCTCTAGGCCACGAGAGCCCCTCTGCAAACTTTGGTGCTTGTACCTTTATTCATAACGTGTTCATCTGCGTTGTTTCGGATGAACTTTTTTCTGTTCACCTGGTAGATATGTATTAGGCTACGTGTATCAATGTTGTTGTTTTTTCTGATCCAAAAATAAAAAGTACAGAGTGAAGCTCAACAATATTGTAGAAAAAAATTAGTCCCTTTCGTTCTTTAATTTTTAATTTTTTTTTTTAAACAAAAGAAGACCCCAGTCTGTCGAGACCAGAATTCTAAAAGTCTAGAGATCTAATCGTGCACATCTTTTCAGCAAAGGCAGCATGCACACTTTAAAAAAAAAAAATTCTGTTTTCCTTGATTTGGAGGCCTTGTTTGATAGACCCTATTGTCCATCCCTCAGCCTCCACCCCAGTCCCACCACATTATCACCCCTCCCTGTCCCCTTTCCAATCCCCCCCTCTCTCTCTTTCTCTCTCTCTCCCTCTCTCTCTCTCTCTCTCTCTCTCTCTATCTATCTCTCTCTCTCTCTCGCTCTCTCTCTTTCTCTCTCTCCCCCTCTCTCTCTCTCTCTCTCTCTCTCTCTATCTATCTATCTCTCTCTCTCTCGCTCTCTCTCTTTCTCTCTCTCTCTCTCTCTCGCTCTCTCTCTCTCTCTCGCTCTCTCTCGCGCTCTCTCTCTCTCTCCCTCGCTCTCGCTCTCTCTCCCAGGACCCCATGGGGCATTTGCTTGAAAGGAAGTAATGCCTTCAAGAAATACAAGACAAAATTAGATTCGAACTTGGATTTCACACGTCATGCTGTTCCAGATCAAAACTAACAAGCACCTCTGCGACCAGCTAAGCATACACGCGCCTCGACGAGACCCTCAATCTCAAAGAAAAAACGATCACCATTTAAACGAAAAGACAGACAGTGTTTTCCGAACGGCAAGTGTGCTCAAATAGTTAACTTGGCCACTGGAATAGTGCCCTGTGCCCAAGTCACATAGCTCCGGGCTGCCAGTTTGTCAAAGACAGGGGGGCGGGCGGGCGGGCGGGCGGCTCTTCTGATAAATAGAACTCGCCAATGTTTGAGTTTGAGACTGGTCTTCCCGTGGTTTGCACATTATTCCGTTTTCTCCATGAAAGTTGAATAGGATCGTCGTCGCTGGGATTAATTCACCGATCCCTTTCCTGGGGATGAGAAGTGTGCGAAGAGTGAACATTGTATTTTATAGGAGGGTGGGGGGGGGGGTGGTAAG